CGCCCTCGGCTGGCTCACCTCTGCGATTGCAACTGATCAGCTTTCGTACTCTGGACTGGTAGCTCGACGGTGATATGCCCACGGAAGGGAGGTGACAACTCCCGTAAGGTGGAGGTAAGTCGTGCCTCGAGTAGGCCGTATCATGTCGTAGGGGCTTGCGAGAGGTATGGCTGGCGCACTCGGCCGGAGCGGCTTGCGGAAGCTCCATGTGTATTTTCGCGGAAGGTGTAGACCAACTCCTACGTGACGCGGCCTGGAGGGTCCCGTGCTGCCCTGGTGTGGTGCCAGACTGATGCGCTTGACAACGCTTCGGCATACTCACTCAAACTCTTAGTTCGACCATCCTTTCCGAGTAAGCACGAAGAATCACAATTGCACAGGAGGAAACCGCTAACATATGCAGCAAACAAACCCCGAAAACTCTCCTCAATTGGCGTTGAGGTCATCTGACGAGTAAGTGCTACTTACAATGTAGAAAGTTATTTTTAGTAGTCATACTCAGTGAGCAGTTTGTCATTACTTTAAGCAGTTCACCTTCCTTTTTTCTCCTATGCCCCCAGCCACTGTCCCCTTTTCAGCAACTCTAGCATAACCGATACTTAAGGTTGGTTCACGTTTGTCCTCACGCATCCCTATGAAAGCGAGTCACGTCACCGATACGACTATTCGAGGTTTATCAAACTCTAAATACTCACTAGCTCCCCATCTTTCAGACAACTTGTTTGCTCCTTTCTAAGGGTGCCCTTAGTCAAAATCCATGTCACTCCGAGAATAGACCCATTCTTTATGTCACACACGAAAACAGTCAACAGGGGCACAGTCGCAGTACTACTCATTACTAATCGCGACCTCATACACAGTGTTTTCGTGTTTACCCCACGTTATTTTTGTGTGATGACACGTCAGCCAGCGTGACTTTAACTAAAAAAAGTAAAAGAAAGGCGATCAACTCTCGTTGTACTTAGCTTATTCGAGCTAGCCTCAAGTGAATCGGTTGCCTGACGTCATAATACTGCACTGATCCGCGATCCCATAATCAATCCCACACACGATCACCTTAGATACCGGACAGAGTTCGTTCCCTCTTGAACGGCCACGTGTCTCTCTAGCGCTTTCGAAGGAGCTCAAATCAACGAGAATTCACTTCCATTACAACCGTCAATTTCCCACTCAAATTACCAGAGTAAGGGCAAAAAGCACCTGTATAGCGGCAACTTGATCAAGCCGTTTCCATCACGGTTACCCAACTAGATCAGACTCTGGTTGGGTACTCCTGGGAAAATGTTGACATTAGCAGCGAAGCAAGACACTCTTGTTCGTCGCACACACCCTTTTTGCCAGCAATCACTGAGCAGTCACAGGGCGACTGTGATGTGAGCGGAGAAATAACCATGGGGAGCACTCGGTCCGACAGAGCAATATCAAGGCGCTAATTGGTTATTTATGTTCAGGGCTTCAAGGAAAGGACCCTAGCACATACCAGAGACCCTCATTACCCGCTCATTTCCGCTTCACTGCCCTCCGGATACTAGCACATCACTGCGGTGACCCTTTCTATCAAACACGTGGGCATTCCCAAAACGGCTGATGTCATCAACCTCCACTGTGCACGGGTATTGACCTTCTTCTTGCCTCTCTAGCTAGCATACGCCTCGCTCAGCTGCGATAGTTAGCAACTCTGTGTATCGACTCACTGATCTTGCATGGTCCAATCGAGGCATCAATACGGTTTTGTGTCTCTCGTCCCCGCTCTGGTCAGTGATCTCCAAGCTTCTCTTCACCTCACGCACGCGAAGACATGGGAAACGTCAACAAAAACTCCCCTCTTCACGCCTTAGTTTGTATCCCCACAACATTTCGTGCCTACAATCAACTAGGAGGAGCATACAGAAATAACAACAGGACGTCAACTGTATTAGGCAAACTCATGCCAACTAAGGCACCCAAGACCCTCTCTCTTTCTACCTCTCTAGGCCACGCCAGGTACAGACAGTACACGCGTACAGGTTCAGTCTCGGCTCGACTTCTGGGCGCGACTGTCCCGCCGCTCTTCTCTGCATGCCAACACCATGCCACGCTCCGTCCCCGAAAGAACAGTGGGACGTCAACTAAAGTCCTCCTAAGTCGCGTTAGCCTGTTCCCCCCCCTATAATCCGTCATCACCTCACCTTTTCTCTTCTTGCAGCATGCTGATTGCCATATCCCTCAATGTAGCGGATCAGAAGACAAGGAGAAAGCGGGAGTGTGGAGGCAATAGTTGACGTCACCTGCACCCCGCAAGCTCGCCTCTCGCTCTCTCTCCCAGTCTCCCCTTTCGTTGACCTCCTCGCACTGCCTCAGGCCTTGTCACGTGCAACCTGTGCACGCGCGTAACCGCCTCTCGACTCAATCACTGTGCCTGCTCGCCCCGGGATCTGAGACACCCTTCGCGAGCTTTGTTTTTCTTAGGCGTCCCCACAGGCCTAGCCTTTCGGCCGCCTTGAGTTGGCCTCCGAGCCGCTCTCAACCGGCTCAGCAGGTGGGTGGTCGTGTCTCCACTGGTCCAGTCCATGCTAGGACTGGGTATCCGCGTTCAGGTCACTGGCGTCGCTCTCAACCTCAGTGTCCCGATCCAGGTGTTGCTGTTCCCGATCCACTGTGTCCGTGGAGGTCCCCTCGTCTAGGTACGTGATGGTCAGTTTCATCTCATCCGTGACCCTGTCCCGTTTGCACCTCCTCTCCGCTCGATCTTTTGCCTCTGTGATCGTCATCTGCAGGTCCGGATCCTCCCTCATTTCTTCTTCTCTCCCCCCTTCTATGTTTATTTTCATTTCAACTCCTGCCTGCCGTAACTGTAGTCCAAGATGGCAGTCATGGTCGGTCCGTCCCCCGACATCCTTTCCCATCTGCAGAGGGACTAGATGCATCTTGGCCTGTAGCCATACAGTCCGCTACTTCGCACCATGGTCGAACCTCTCTCTCTTCTGGACGACACACGACACCAGGGCGTCGAGCTCCAGAATAGCCCCTCCCTTAACACTTAGAGTACTAGCGTGCGCAAGCAGGCGAGTTACCGCACACTCCCTTCACTACTTAGCTCTCGCGCCTCAGCTCATTAGTACGTATTTTATATCAAAGACTCGCCTCTCTTTTTTTTTTATAGTGTCACTTCCCTTCACGAACCCTGTATTCTAAACAACGGGTTCAAATAACCTTCTCAGTATTTTGAAAATCTGCAACTCGTAATTTAATAAGATAAAATAAAATAGCAAAGGAGACGAAAAACATTTATTTTTCAAATCTCGAGAAACAATTAGACCTGAAAGAAAGTTGCGGAGCTGGACTCCAACGGTCGCTACTCATGCAGGTTTTTCACAGTCGGCCACCGATCCCTTCTCATTTTTTCCTTTTGAATACATGATGTCAGACCCGTCGCGGTGGTCCCATAACGTGATATCGACGAGCGGCCGTCCTTCTCCAAAATGAACCATTGGCCTATCCCTTTCGGGTACCCGTGTCCGATGGCAAGGAGGGGGTTCATGACCTCCTATAGGGGGTGATGAGCTTCTTACCGATGTGGCTGCGGGTCGCCCCTGTTTTAGGGTCCTACCGAGCGGCGCCCAGTCGAGCCTCCCAACCATAGGTGCAAAAATAACAAGCCAAATCAGTCTGGGCCAGACTGCAGCCGCGCTCGATTTTCAAACCGTTTGCCTTCCCGCGAAGTGACAGGGACTAAAGGAAAACCCGCGCCCAAAAATCAGCAAAATAATAATAATAATAATAATAATAATAATAATAATAATAATAATAATAATAATAATAATAATAATAATAATAATAACGAAACGAAGTAAGGAAATAAAAGGAATCATACCGACGCCACGGTTAGGAGTCACTGAATCGCCTCAAACTAAAGCGAGGGTCTAGATCTACGCGTGGATCTGACACTGAACCCCCCTCCCTTTTTCTTCTCATCACTGCTTTTCTTTCTCTTTTTTCTTGTTTTGCCCTTTTTCTATTCGACAGTAACAACGACTCTACGTACCGAACCCATAACCCGACTAGGGCGCGATCGGTGCGCAGTAGAAATGACAGCGTCGGTCTTTTCACCTTCGCATCCCAAGGTGAACCCGGCGGCTACCACGGCTACAGGCCAGTAGTGCTCTGCTGTACAGCAGGGCGCCGAGCCTGCGTGGACCAATGGAAAGCCCTGTGGCACACCCTTTTGCTGAGGCAGGCACCAATAGGACCGGTCCACGTCAAGGTACAGTCCGAGTACTAAGGTCTTTGGAGATTCGGGAATCACGACTACAGGCTGCAACGTCGAAGCAATATATATACAGGGTTACCGGCGTTCGGCCGTTCGGGCCGAACGCGGACTCAAAAAAAAAAAAAAAAAAAAAAAAAAAAAAA